TGTGGGTTTATTGATTAGTTGTTTGTAATTGATACTGGCCATAGAATTGATGTAATTCTGATTTACTGTAGCTGATTGATCATTATAATCAATATTAAAATCACCAATTAAGATACACTTTGATTTAGTAACATTTATATTCATAAGGTGGTTTTCTAGACCAGTACCAAATGATACAAGGGAAGCCTAAGTTTCTGCACCTGCTGTAAAAATATCTATGCAATGTCCATTTTGATTTGATGTGGCATGTAGCACATTTCACACAAAGTGTATTGCATTCTGCATGCACAGATTCAGTGATAGAACTTTAAAAATTACACTTACTTTATTCGTATACCAATCGATCGACGAAATGCTTGAGTTAGTGCTTCTGTTTTGCTCATTTCTAACGAGAAGATTTCGCTACCAGCAATGCTTGTAAACGGTGTGTCTTGTCCTAATGCCTGGGCCATACCTAGTGAAGATCAAAAAAGCACATTTACAAATAGTGGAAGAAAATTAACAAGAAAAGAAATAACTTGTTATTTATATCAAACTTTTTCTGCCTTCTAATCAAACTGAAGAGTATGGTTGCCTAGGAAGTTCTTTCACCAAGAGCTTATTAAAATTTGCGTGTAAAAAGTGTGTTTCATTGCATAAATATCATGATTGGCATGGTAGTTTGGTTCCTGCTTTTATGAGAAAAGCATTAATTAATTTCAGAATGCATGTCATGTGAATGTACGCACACAACATGGTTCGCACCTTTTCTATTTCTATTTTCACCGGGTCATAGAACATCGTTTTACTTTTCCGAATAATGTGTCTATTGAGACTGACGTGAATGGGGTGTGAACGAGTACACTATTCTTCGACGTGACCTGTTGGTAACTGTGAAAGGCTTAAATACTTCTTCCGCCCTCAGTTTACCTTTCGAAAATTGCCTTTCAAAAATAGGGAATAATCAGATCGCATTTTAACATCACAGTAATTCATTTTCCCAATTTGCGTTGAAAAATTTCGCCAGTACGACACAGCATTTTGATTGGTTAATGAACAACATGACTAAAGGAAGTTGTTTCAGGTCAAATCGTGATGAAAAGCATCATGGCGGAAATTGGTTTGTATTGAAGGTTTGCTCACAATCAAAAACACTCAAAGATAATGATAAAGATCTTGCCTTCAATTGGTTTCCCATTTTTAACGTAAATTCAGATGGTATGTAAACCATATTGTAATAAAATGTGTGTATTTTTATGATTATATTTGTTTCTTCATAGTAAAAAGTGCCGTGGAAATCAATGACGTAATATTACCCCGAGCTGGCGAACGAAAGATGTAATTTGGATAATTTTTTTGGGTGGTAAGATGGTTACAATGTTAAACCAAAAACAAAAATAATCTTTTCTGAGGTGGTCCTCGATCATAAGCCCACCCCCTACTTTTCCCGATTTTACATGTTCAGGCCCCTGGGCTTATGATCGGGGAAGTACGGTAAATGAACTCCCTTACATAATCACTAACTGCAGACAACTTTCAAGTTAGAGTTTGGTGACAAAGAGCTCTATACTATACTATCAGTATATATATTTACATTTCATTGTAACCATAGTTAATACATACCCATTGCTATAGCAGTTTTACCAGTTCCAGGGTGACCGGCGATAAGAACGGCACGGCCAGCAATTTTACCTTCCTGTAAGCAATAATCAAGATTTATTATTTTTATTTTTTACATTTTTCAAGAGCTTTCATCACATCAATCAAAATCTTATGAAAAGTGTTGAAGCATGTTCTTCTAACTTCACCTTGAAGGCACATTTATTCCCTGATTTTCAACAAATCATGAGATGTATTGGTAGAGAAAGATATCCCTTTTCCAACAAACAGAGCAAAGCATGAAACAAAACATGACAAAGATACACTGATGCTGCAGTCAGTCCTACCTTTATCATCTCCAATATCACACCAGCAGCTCTTCTTGCTGGAGCCTGTCCCACCATACCTTGCGATACCTGACGTGGCTCCAATGCATCATCTAAACCTAAGCCTCGTATGTGCGAGTGCGCACCAATTCTCTCAATACGAGTCACTTCACGCACTTCCTGGACTTTCTGTGCAGTAGACTAGAGAAGGAAACATGCGGAGGTGACAAAATTTTTATTAAAACATAGAGATGATAAATGAAGGTAGTTTTTAGATGGCAGTAAGATCTAAGATACCGGTACACATAAATTAAAAAGAAATGTTCATATTCAAAATGAGTCGCATTTAAATGATCCAACACAACTTTTGGGTTTGGTGATCTGCTTCTAATAATACGGTAGACCCAATATGGTATTGATAATCATTTTTTGTCAAAGATTTGAAATTTTCTCTTGAAATAGTAGACAAGATAACATAGCAGACACTAATTACTGCTTTGCACTGTTGCAACTAGATAAGCATCTACACTGTTCAGGAGTGACCAACCACAAACAGTGGTAACAGTTATTTTTATCAAATGTAGCCACCATTTGTCTATCAGGGACTGGAATGTTTTTTAATAATTAAATACAATGGGCATATAATTTAGTTCAGACAGATGTGTGTATTTGAGTACTGAATACATTGACTGGTTCTTGTTACGCAAGCAATCACAATAATTTAGCTTCTATGATTTCAGCAAGGTACATGTAGTAAAAGTCTACACAGCAATACTACTACATTTTACATAAATTATACAGGATCCTATAATTAGTTGTAGAATGTGTCCACATAATGTTATACAGCACCAAAAAGTACTTTTTCAACAATCGCGTTTATGCATGTAGTGATTAGCACAGAGCCTAAAGGCACCTGTCCATAACGATGATTGCTTTCAAATATTTTTTTTAGTTTACCTAATTTCAGTAAATAAAATGACTACGATGTGAATGAATATATATATTAGTGGTGAAGAAGCACAGGGTATTAATGTATACACTGAATTTGTGTTTACAAGCAAACTAAAATCAACGCAGTTTCGCGTTCGAGTCAGCAATGGTTACGAAACCAGTGAATGTGTGAATGAATACCATGGCAACTGTTTTGTCTATCAAGTAAAAATCAAATAATGTCTGCGACACAGTTTAGTTGTTCTAGTAACACCATTTTTATAACAGTTTGAGGACAACACAGTAGTAGTTATAGTAGTTTAGAGAAAATTGTTTGTATGTATGGATCCTTTACATGTATAAATTCACTTTCAATAGCACATGTCAAGTCATGATGTGACGACCCGAGTCATCGGAGCAACCACCATGTAAATACTAACGCGACCAAATAGTTATCCAGACCAGTAGAGAACACTTAAACATGATCGGATGCACTATTACAAAAGTAACACACAAGGAATATGTAAATATGTCTGGTAACTACGTTTATGAATGTAATAAACTTGAAATATAGAGGCGGGAATTCAAAGACAGTGCACTTACCGCCGCCGCCATGTTTCTTTGCTGCAAAGGATTATGGGAAATACCAGGAAGATTCTGGAATACCTGTGATGGCGCCCTTCAAATTTGTTTTAGAAACAGTTTATAACCGGTGGTATTCATGAGAGGCGGCGGCACGATATTTTCAAGTTGCATGGGCGGGGCGGGATCTGCTCTGATCTTGCGCCGAAAGCGCGACCTTACTAGAGGGAAAGCTCCCCCGTAAAAATCTTGAAATCTACATCCTCTAAAACGCTATTTCCTGCATTTTGATGGGCAAATTTTGCTGACACAAAGAGTTTCAGCTTGATTTTGTAGGGGCGACGCCTCCAACATTTTTTTCGAGGAGACGACCCCCGTGCCGCAGCCACTGTTCATTCATTATTACTATAAATGAATTATGGTTGCTGATTAATATTTGTAGGGCTAGAAATTTGAATTTGATAGAGAGTCGTGCTGTTTGTTTCTGTCGAGGAAAACAGTAACTAGATGAAAAACTGGATTCTAGTATAAAAATTAAATCTGACGTAAAAATCATAGATGAGATGACAGTCACGAAATAAATTTTACCAAAAATAGATTTTGAGGTAGCGAAGCGAAAAAAACAAAAAAAAACGGAGGCAGCTGGTAAGCATGCCGTCCGTGAGCTTAGATTGTGATTAGTGTTGGTTATATCAAGATATATGTGAATCGTACTAAATGTCATGATGGGGGATATTATTCTGCCTGTTTTTGAGTTTAAATGCGAAGCGCCCTCAAATATTGACATATTCAACTGCGATTTTTTTATTATATTTTCTCTGAAATCTTATTAATTTATTATTGAAAATAAGATAACAATAAATTATATATTCTATTTATATTTCATTATGCTTTATTACAAATTTGTACAAGACCTAAAATAATATTACCATTTTGGTTAATGGAAAGGCTCGGGAATAGAAGCGTTCACTACGCAATTGTACGAAGGCACTAGTGCTTGGTGTGATATTGCACAACACACACTGGCGTAATGATCAATTACACACATATGCTTGTTAGTTTCTGTGGGTATATAGCCGGTTAACTAAATGCTTAGAAGTACGGGGGCATTTAAATGTTTAGTATTTAACAATTTAAATAAATTTACCATATCTTTTTTTTAAAATCCACGAACGTGTGATTTGCACCCCAACTATCTAAGCACCTCCGTAAAGCATCATACATGGATTTGTAGTTTGTGATTTATGTATAAGATTGCAGATTAATATATTACAAACTAGATGGAGGTGTTTATCACCCCAAGCGGTATTTAAAATGCAGGACAACGCGGTGAACGTAGAGACACCGTATCATGAAACATGATACACGAGTATCAACGAATTAAACCTCTCACAGGCATTAGTGCGTCGAGAGACAAAACATTTCATTAATGACGACTCCCTACCAGGTGTAATGTCACAAAGCAAAATTTAGGCAGACGCACAACGCACATTGGACAGCTCTAATAGAGACTTTTTTTCATCCGTCTGATTTAAGGTTTCTCGGAATGTCAAAGTTGTGAATTATATTCCGAAAACATGGCAGATCTACCCTCGGGACTATATTCTCCCGGAGTAGCCATTTTCGTCAGTACTATTCTTTATACAATCGTTGTTGCATCTATTTTTGGAAACTTGCTTGTCATCGTGGCTTTCTTCACCGACGCCAAGTTGAGACATACTGTTCGAAACGTATATCTTCTCAACTTGGCCATCGCCGACCTGATGGTCGCGACGTTGTCCATGCCATACGATGCGTTTTGGGCTAGACACGGGTACGCCGATTGGCCACTAGGAGAAGGAGTTTGCAAGCTGTGGTTGACCGCCGATTTCACAGCGTGCAGTGTTTCGGTTATTTCTGTGATCTATATAAGTCTAGACAGATACTGGCTGATAAAAAAGAAAGCAAAGTATGCTATGTTGCAGAAGACTAAAAAGGCCATTATAATGTGCGTAATTCCTTGGATTTTTCTGTCGTTTTACTATGGTATAACAATTAGCGGATGGAGTGCGTTGACAGGACAATCGAGCCTCGACTATAGTTGGCAATGTGAAGCAGAGCACGTTAACAGCCTATTTTTCAATGTTATCACTGTTATTTTTGAATTCATAATCCCGTCCATTGCCATAGCTTATTTGAATATGACGGTGTATTTGTATATCAGAACGCGAAAGAGAACTTCGAATCAGAACAGGGTTTTCCAGATTCACCTCAACTCCGAAAATACAGTTTCACCAAATGAATCACCTAGTACTGGTGACGAGGTTCCATGTGGAAATCGTAGGATCACAACGACACGCTACATGTCTGAACATTTTACCGACCATCATGAAGAAGCATCAGCGCAAATCGACCAGGAACTCTCCAACCCACTCGTGGCTTCTAGAAGAACCCAAGACAACATAATCGATGACAGCTCAAAGAGAGGGAAAGCTGGTAGAACTCTTGGTTTAGTAGTTGCAGTTTTCGTGTCGTGCTGGCTTCCCTATAACATGTACCTTATTGTGATAACTCTATGTGATAGCTGTTACAACGAGCATATATGGACTCTTGTAAACTGGCTGCTTTGGTGCAATTCCACAGTAAATCCTTTAATTTACGCTGTGACCACTCCCAGATTCTGTTACGCCTTCAAGACTATAGTTTGTCTTAGTAAAAAACATTCCCAAGTAAACATTCATCCAACTGTTTAAGATAAACTGTGAACATAAATTTAAATAAATTGTGGTCCCGAAGCAACCATCGGAACTTAACCCACTCAGCAATAACAACTAAACTAATATTATAATACAAAGAAAATGTACATAATGTTTTCCTTTCTTTAAAATGTGTTCTTTGTAATTTATTTCCGTTTTCATAGGAATAAAATGAACCAATTGGATGATTTAGAAGTAAGACCCCACCCTTCATTCCCCGGCCCCACAATTTGTTTAAAAATACAACCTAATCCACCCATTCTTTGTTGCAACGTGATGAGTTACCCTTTGTTTCATTATTCTGTGTTACCAAAAATCGTCATACCAATCGTAGCTCTTACAATGTAAGAAAATGTTGTCAATAAGAAAATTATGAGTTAAGCATGCTGGAAAAGCGAAACTGTTACACTACACTACACCATACCACACTGCACTACACTACATTACACTACTTGCACAAAACAGGATAACGAGGACCCACACTAGAAAACTAGAAAGTTTACTGAAAACTGGTATATGTTGGATCGTTGAGAAAAATAAACAATGTATTGTCGATTTAGTAAAATACAGTAATCAAAGTTAAGCTAATTTAGTGTATGTGCTACTAAAACTCATTCTGATTGGAACAGAGACTGATTTATATGTATTTACCAAGTCTGTATAATAATAATAATCTTTATTGTAAATCGTATCCTTATTAGGATCTTGACAAAAGTGTACAATAAAGTATAGAAAAAAAAAAGAAGTAAAAATAAAAAAATAACATTAAACACATTAAATAAAATTAAAATACATGTAACAATTTAGATTTTGAGGCAGATGACATACTGTTTTTTTTAATATTTTCTTCTCTCAGATTGAAACAGTTGTAAATATATTTCGACAGTTCTATTATAATTGACTCATTATCACTAGTCATTATGGC